ATTTTCCGAATTACAGCTTCTTTTTGCTAAATCTTTGCAGATTACCAACTTTCTGAATTTATCGAGAAACAATTTTCTAATGAAATAAACTGATACCAATAATTTTAAAAAACATTTTTATTAAACACGAAATTATAAATTGGGATGACTGCTTGATACCGTGTATTGTCTCGTCTAGCAACTCTAAGAAGTTCTAATCTACGAGGCATACTGGAAATTAAGTTGATTATCGTTTCCATTGGTATACGATTCCATTCTTCCACTAATGCATCTGCCATTTCTGCGAGACTTTCCGGAGACCTCTCGCGAGAACGTACCCTTCTCCCTAATTCATTCCACAAATGTTCTATAGGATTCATATCGGGGCTTCTCGCAGGCCATTATAATGTGGTAATACCGTAGCTTCTAAGAAGTTTCGCACTGTTGCTGCGGTGTGTGGTCGGGCATTATAGTGCATCAATATAAAATTATTGCCCACTAACTCTGCATAAAGTAAGACATACTGCTCTAAAATGTCGATGTAAATTTATTTGGGCATTCATCGACTGCCTCACCGGAAAAACATGAAGGGGTGTCTTTCCATTCATTGAAATCCCTCCCCACACCATAACGGACCCAACATTGAAACTTTCGCATTCTGTTATTAAATTTTGATTAAACCGTTCATCAGTTCGTCTCCACACTCTTTTTCTTCCATCCACCATGTTGAGGCAAAACCTTGACTCATTCGTAAACAAGACATTCGACCATTCAGGAATATTCCACTGTCCATAATTTTCAACAAAATTTCTAGCAGCACGATGTTCGGGCAATAATTTGGGACCTTTTGCAGGTCTCCTAGCTTTTAAATTAACTTCTTTTAGTCGTCTACATACCGTCTGCTTACTTACTGCAACATCACGAATTTGGCGAAGATCTTGCTGAACATTTACCGCAGTATATATTTGATCGATTCCGAAAAATCCGCAATCTCAAGAAGCGATCATCTCTTGTAGAAGTTTTTCGGGGGCGACCAGAACCGACCCTCCGAGCGGTGCTTCCTGTTTGTTCGTACTTGCGGATTGCTCTACGAGCAGTTGCTTCATGAACTCCCACTGCACGAGCAGCGTAACGTTTACTACGCCAATCGTTCACTAACGCAACTGATCTTGCTTCTTGTTCAGGATTTATTTGAGGCATTTTATGTAATTTAAGCCAATAAAACAAGACACTTGATTAATGACACAACGACAAATGGTCAAATATGGAGGCATACAACAAATTAGTTGCTATGGCAACGGCATTTATTTTTTTAAAGACAATGTGATCCTACCAGAGTACAACCCAATCAATTTTGAGTACTCTGATCCTTCAATAAATTCAATTTGTGGGAAAAGCTGTAATTCGGAAAATTTTAGAGATAAATCATTGAATAAAAAAACAAAATGCTCGCAAAAGAAGTCTCTTTCTTATAGGGTGTAAGCACTTTGTATACCATTGTTCAGACTTTAACGGGCCACCATTAATATTTCTGAAACAAATGAAGCAAAACTAGCAATAGATATGCAAAATCGAAACACAGTTATCAGAGGGTGGAATAACTTTCGAATGAGGTATCAGTCGACCTTCCAGATACGGGGGAAGAAGAGACAGATGACGAATTTATCTTAGAAAACGCGTACTTATAAATGGAATTTGACGTGATTCAGCATTTTTTTAATCCAGCATTTTTTGTTCGTGAGTTATCCAGGGTGGATCGTCGTGGAGTGGCTCATTTTCATCTCTGCTATAGATGAAAACAAATATTATATTTTCGTTACTTGTTTGTACTTATATGCTGCTGCTGGATGGTTCTGTTGAATTTGGTCAAGCTTCAGAGACAAGAATTCGAAGAGCTCTTCATAGGATGGATTATTTGGTGATAGGTAGAGACACAAAGGTATTTGGTCTGTTTCTGGCTATCGAGTCGAGGTCGTATTGGTGGATGAATTGACCTGTGTCTCAGTAAGAGCCAATATGTCTGGCTTTTCAATTTGAAGGTGTCGATGGACATCGTTCTTGCTTATGTTCTTACTTAGACCTCGGATGTTATATAGGTCTATATATCTTGAGGACTTTTTCAGCCGATGGTGAACCCCCTCTAGCACCTCTCGCCCGGAAATCCGAATGGAGAGGTATTTTACTTCCGGATAATTTTACTTGAGGAGAACTCATCATCGCTTATTCTGTATAAAGAAGGGAGGTTGGCGTGGAAGGAAAAGGAAATTGGGTTGGGTTGGGTTGGCCGGAACATCAACCAGCTACTGAAACACGGATAAGTATACCCATTTCACAGTGCCTATGGTTGATGTGGTGGTATCGCACCGGGCGATGGCGTTAACCATGTTCCACCTATTGGCGTCCTTTTAGTCGCCTTCTACGACAGGCAGGACTCACCGTGGGGTTATTCGTTATTCTAATCCGACCACCACACGGATATACAATTATTGCAAGTTCGATAAAAGTATGTTATAAAAGTAACGTCTAACAGAACGTTTTTTTGGCTATATCCAACAATACTGTCTGTAGGTTAATCGAGGAGGTGGTACATTTATTTTGGCTGCTTATACAACTGTTCCGAATTTCAGAAAAATCCGATTACGAATGCAGAAACAAGGGTGGCCCGATAACCTGTGTCACATGGTATATAATATTGAAAAGCTTTCAAATTTTTTCGTCGAACATATTGATGTTACTATACGTTTTCGATGGGACACCCTGTATAATATCACATCGCACATCCGTTATTTGTAATAAAAATAATTGGTTATTACCATTCACAGAGTCATTCAACGCCTTTCTTATGGTAATCAGTTATGTAAGTGGGAGTTCGACTGGTCATCTTCGAATTGCTGCAATAATTATACAGGGTGATGGTCAATAATAATAGGCCTACCGTCAGGTCAAAGATGAATGAATTTCGTGGTTCATGTGCCTGAATAAATTTTCTCGTGAAACTTTCAAATCGAACTAACATTCATGGAATTTTGACTGGAATGGTGTGAATTCTGGAGTCTCTCTTTATATACCTAGAGGGTGTTGCCTAAGTGTTCCACGAGTGGTTTTTCGTATTATGAATAAGGAACAATTCACCATGAAAGTATGTCCGAATAAATCGCTATGTTTAAGCGATACAGGGTGTTGATTGTTGAATGACATTTTCACGATTTTTTTATTGATATCAGGAATCTTTCGGATTACAGATCTGGGGGAGTGTCCGTTTGTATCTGCTGCCGATGTGTTCAGGAGAGTCGACGACCTTTCACTTGGCTATAGATATACTATCACGGAAAATATTCCTAAAAAATATCGGCTATATATCGTTCCATCACTAGCAATACCAGTCGGACAAACTCGACAGTCTCAGTTAGCATATATTTTTGTCGCCGACCTCGAAATATGTCGAACATTTCTCTACCAAGAGTCGTCTGTCCATTGAATGTCAAAGCATTGGAATTCTTTGGAGTGTAGCACCCAAACATACCCTGAAACTGTTGGATTCTGTCCAAAAAAGGGCAATTCGTCTCGTTGGGTGATGCTTCACTCACAAACCCACTCACTTCTCTGGAAGACCGTAAAAAAGTTGGCGATCTGGCTCTATTTTATATTTTCATGGAAGATGCTCTTCTGAAATATCAACAATTGTTCCTCCCTTGGCAGTCCCCGAGAGATCAACCCGAGTTGAGGCTTCGCATCCCTTCGTGGTCACTTTGGAACCTGCAGAACATCTCTTTCCAAAGACTCGTTCATCCAACGAACATCGAGGCTCTGGAACACTTTGCCAAGGGATGTCGTGTTCCTCGAGGCATATTAACTCCAGAAATTTAAGAACACCAATTCCTACCTTATTTCCCTTGGTTGGTCAAGATATCCCTTTTCGTGGGAACCAGAACATATAAAAAAAGGAAAGCATATATACCAAAGAACTTACAATACATAATACTGAAATAGGAAATAAATACCTCGGGCAACAAACCTGTATTTTCATTCCCATTGAAAAATCGATTCTATGGAAATGATCATCACGTTTTGGCTCTTAAACTATGTGAAAATCCATTTTGCTCTCATGTGAAACGTGTTCACGCTTTAATTTTCAGAGATCTTGCGGAGAACTGTATATTTTGCGAGCATCAGCTCATTATAAGATAATGACGAACATTTGAATTTGGGATGAACAAAAACGTTTCAAACACGCATGATGGGTCGGCTTAATGCATTATACGTGCTTATTACGTTCATGTACAGGGTTGGTCAATAGATATTCACGTAACCGCTGGCTCTTCCCGTAAAATCCCATATCCCATCGTCACACTAAGCTAACAATAGTTACGTGAGTTACATATTAGTAATTTTTCTAACAAGTCCGGAAAGTGATACTTCCCACACGCGAAAGCCGTTGTCCGGGCAAGCAGTCGAGTGCACTTTCCGCATGAGTTAGGAACAATATTTTTTCTACAACCGAGGAAATTGGTTGATTTGTTCAATCAATGATTCCTGCAAATAGGAACAACTAACAATAGTGATATATTCTCCATCTTCTAATAATTAGTGATATATCTATTGTGTGTTCCGTTTGAAGCAATATGTAGGCAAGCTTATTGCGGAAGCCAGCATGCCCCTAGTGTTTGGCCTCTAGGTTTCAGACATTTCTTGGAAATGAGCCAAGAATACTTCTTTATTTGGTGTTTTCACTTTTTACTATTGCACCATTCAATAAATCCCGTGTAGTGCTTCTCATACCTTTCTCAGGACTTCGATGACAATAACTCATCTGTATCGCATCTGTAATATACTATTATTTTTGGAGCTTTATACGTGAATAGCTGGTTCATCAACACATGGAAATATTTCAGTTTATTCAACTGGTTACGTATAGTAGGATGTTTCAAAACTCCAGTCAGTTTTCATGAGTTCCTAGAAAAATATAGCAGCTGGAATGGAAAAGTCAACAACCTAATTCCCCAATTTACTTTTTGTTACAGACAGACTTGGAATATGTTCTACAGATTGCCAAAGACATAGAAATGAAGTGAGTACCGACCCATGAATAAAGCATTTACCAGATAAGATTATATTCTCTGGTATGAGAGATCATTAGAAATGTAGCACATGTATTGAGTTGGTATGTGCTCAATTGTTTGATATCGAAGGAATTAATTTATCACTCTGAATTCTCTGTTATTTTCAGAATTATCGGTATGAAGGTACTAGGTATAAAATAATGATAATTTAGCTGTTTTTGCGTCCCGCGTATTTATCCCATTCTTCCCTAACACCTTGTACATGATGATCAAATTTTGGTTTTATCGCTTTCAAGCTTTTATATCGAACATTATTTCTTATAGGAAAAACTTTTAATGATAATTTATTTCGAATTTCGACTTGGTCGTGAAGTTTTGCCAGCGTAGCCTCCTGGTTGAAGCGTCAATGTTCTATTCACGTTGGATTGCCGGTAGTTGGGGTTGGTCGTAATGGGGCAATCGAATGATGGATGAAAACAATTTCAGAACAAATTTTTTGTAGAAAATATAAAAAATGGACTACTTGTTCGTGGTCACTTGACTTTCGCTACATGTCAATAGTAACATTTTTTCAAATTATTCGCTGAAAATAGGATTATTTGTTCAAATTTCAAAAAAGTTCACGAAGAAAAGTTGTTTCATTCTAATTTTGCACATGTGTCTGGAATTTACGAAAGCTCTGGAGTGCCAATTGAAAAAAATAAAAAATCGAAATTTCAACTTAGGAAGTCGAAATTTTCTATACCAACTCGAAATTTCGTCTTACTACGTCGAAATTTCGTATTAGTAACTCGAAATTTCGTATTGGTAAGTCGAAATTTCGTATTAGTTAGTCAAAATTCCGACTTAACATCTCGAAATTTCGACATACTCAACTTGAAATTTCGACATGATTGTTATCTCGAAATTTCGAGTTTTTATGAAAAGTCATATGAAACCGGCTTCATTGATGGTTCTTGGCCATTACATAAGACATTTAGATCTATGTACCCACGACGGATGCCAGTTTCGGTTCACTGTTTTCTTAGTTTTTCAAGTCAGATCTCTATTATACAGGGTATCCCGAAATTAGCCTGCCAAACTCCACCAGCAGCTTCTTTGACCATAAATAGGAAGAAAAAGTTCCAATGAACATTAGTCGAGTCTTGAATATTCCCGAAACGCCACGTGAACGTGATAAAATGATGCAATTTGGTACAAGAACTAAACTTTCCATGCCCAATGCGGTGAACATAAAATCATTTCATTCAGGAGTGTAAAATACAAGGTGGGACTACATTAAATATTGCTCTAACTTTCTCGTATGCATATTTTTTGACAATTTAGTCTCGGATTATGAAAATCCACACCATTTCACAAAAATAAGTGCTCTTGTTCCGCATTGATCAGATGTATCATTTTCGAGTGAAATCGATTTAAAAATATTGATGCATTCACATATCATGCATAACGTTGCCAATTTTCGAATCATAGTGTCTATAAAAAAATCAAGTACTTTCTTCTTACCAAACAATCTCAAAAAAGCGCAAAAAATAGGAAAATGATGATGAAAAAACTACTTCAAGTTTTGTGCATTTTTTTCCATTTCCCCTATGCCTCATTACAATGGTATGTATAATATCTGAGATGTAACAATATTCTTAAATTGCTTTAAATCGATAACAATACGTCACGGAGCAAGAGTACCTTTTTTTCTGTAAAGTGGTGTGAAATTTCATAATCCGAGATTAGCTTGTCGAAAAATATGCAAACAAAAAATTTGGAGCAATATTTAATATAGTCCCACCCTGTATTATACACTCCTGATTGAAATTTTGAAATGATTTTATTTACACCGCATTGGGCATAGAAATTTCAGTTTTTGAACCAAAGGGCATTTTGTTATTACATATGGAGTTTCGGAAATACTCAAGAAATATCATCTTCAAGGGCCCCCTTTCGGTGAGCCATATATAGCTCCCTTAGGTGACATTTCTCGTCCCATGTTCATTGACAGTTTTCTATCTATTTTTAATAGTAAAAGCCGCTGGTGAAGTTTGGCAGGCTAATTTTGGGACACTCTGTATATGAGTGTAAAGATTTTGAAAATGAAGATATACTATTGTATGTATAAGTACACAGAATACCATTCTGTGGCTGTGAGCTTAGACGAAATTTCCAAATTTCGTCTTACATAAGACGAAATTTCGAGTTAGTAAGAAGAAATTTCGACTTAGTAAGTCGAAAATTCGACTTAATAAGACGAAATTTCGAGTTACTAAGACGGAATTTCGACTTCCTAAGTCGAAATTTTGACTTTTTATTTTGCCCACTGGCACTCCCACTCCTGAGCTTTCGTAGGAATTTGTTCGTTTCATAACAATTATTAATTTTTTATATTTCTATAAAATGTCTGTAATATAAACAGTGGCGGATAATGGGAAAGCGCAATGCCCCTTTCCTGACTTTCTACAAAAAGATTATTCCACTCACATTCTTCCTGTAACCACATTTTATGAATCAGTATTGTATCAGTACTTGAAATTGCAAAAAATTCACCTATATTATTTCAAAATACATAAAATAATCCTGGATATAAGGATGCCATTTTTCGAAAATGTGAAAATAATGATGAATAACTTGTTTCCTGTTATGAGTTGTGGTTGTTGATTCGGATACGATAAAAAAAGTGGAGTGAATCAGGGAATTATTTTGGTAAATTGAACAAAAGAGACAGAGTATCCCTTGCTCCCAACACATTTTGCATGAAAACCATGTGATGCACTTGTTGTCAGACTTGAAGAAATCTAATTTTCAATTAGAAGGCATTTGACCTTGAATCCCAACAAACTTTTCGTCTGCGGCGCATTTTTACCGTACAAAATTTCAGTCTGAGTGTCTATCCCTCCTTATTCCTGGTATTAATTGAAATGGAGTTGATGTCACTCTGGAATAAATCTGATTTTCAATTTGAGCGCATTTGACCTCAGGAATATTTCGCCTGCGGCGCTTTCAAGAACCAAGCAGTTTGTCTGAAGAGAAACAAACTTGTAGAGAATCAAATTTTGGACAAATTTTGTCTCCACCTGTTTTTCCGAAAATCGATATTTTCGGAATTAAAACCTAAAAAAACGACTCATTCGAAATATCATCATTATCTCGTTTATTCTCAACTTTACACCATAAATGAGAAGAAACAAACTTGTAGAGAATCAAATTTTGGACAAATTTGGTAAAAAAAATAGTTCCGGAACCATTTTTTCACACCGACATGACAGACAAGCTACCTGCGCGGAATAACCTCTTCATTTATGCCGTAAAATGCGAAGCAGTGGAGATAATGATAATCTTTTGAATTTGTCGCGTTTTTCAGGTTTAATTCCCAAAATATCGATTTTTGGAACAAAAACGTAGTAACCAAAATTGTTCAGAATTTGATTCTCCACAAGTTTAGTCCTCTTCATTTATGCCGTAAAGTTGAAAATAAACGAGATAATGAAAATATTTCGAATTTGTCGCTTTTTTCAGGTTTAATTTACAAAATACCGATCCTATCAGAAAAATTGTGAGGATCAAACTTGTAGAAAACCAAATTTACTACAATTTTTGTCCTTGAACTTTTTCTGTAGAATCAAAAATGGCCGAGTTATTCAAGAAAAACCGTTTTTTAACAAAAAAACATACGCAAAAGCTTGATTTGGTCGCTATTTTGAATTTTCACGAGTCAAAGTCTATAATGACTGGACTAGAAGGGGGCGCTGAAATAAATTGCGCCTCAGTCTGCAAAACTCGGCAAAACGTCTTAATCCACCACTGAATATTGAAAAAAAAATCAACACCGACAAAACTATTTGATTCTAGTAGCTTTATCTTGCTACGAACTCTCAATCACTAATTATCAACAGAAATATCGACGTTCAAATTCATGACAAATATGTGAAATTGGGATAGAAACAACTTTTTTCAGTAAACTAATTTTAAATTTGAACAAATGAGCCTATTTTGAGCAATTGATTCGAAAAAAATGCGACTTTTGACATGTATCGAAAGTCAAGTGACTCCGACAGAGTAAACAGTGTGTCCCACTTACCATGCTCACCATGGGTATCTTTTTAACGGTGAGAGATAAGAGGTCAGTTAAATGACACCAAATGTGGTGTTTGTCAATGCCAACTATAATGTGAAAAAATATTTTGATGAAATCTATTCGTTTTTGTTTTATACGCAAAAAACAGATTTTGATCATTTTCTTGTCTCCTCCGTAACTTCTTTATTAATGGAAATATTCAAATAAGAATTTCACATTCTCATGGCAGTTTTTCAAAGTGATTTCGAAAAAATATGAAATTTATACCAACTCTTCTAGAATTTGAGATATCAGCACCAACTTTAGTTTTTCAAATGTAAGTCATAGCTCACTATGACTTAGTCACAATTAACTTTTTTTTCTATTACAGATGATATGTCGCAGTAATAGTTTTCTGTTGATAACAACGGAGTTATCGTCATTTATACAAAAACAAAAAATTCTTTGGAAGCCGCCATCTCGAATTTATGAATTTTAACAAAAAAATCATAATCTCCGACCTCAAAAACCCCCACTTCTCAATTTTGAATGGAATCGAACCAAATCTTGCCCGCCATCTTGGAGCAGCCATTTTTTTAAATTTCAACAAAAATTCCATAATGCATTGTGGACAAGATTTGGTCCGATTCCATTCAAAATTGATAAGTGGGGGTTTTTGCGGTCGGAGATCATGATTTTTTTGTTAAAATTTATAAATATAGATGGCGGCTTCCAAATAATTTTTTGTTTTTGTATAAATGACGATAGCTCCGTTGTTATCAACAAAAAACTATTGCTTTTGGTTGTATGATAAATTGACATTCATCATACAGGGCGTGGAAAGAAATTCTGAATTGAGACTCTATCACGAATCTGCGATTAGGGGTCTATAAAAATCACAAGTTTCCATCGTTCAAGTTTGAACCCCCTGATTGGGTATGAAAGTGTTGAAAAGGAATATTATCTGAGAATATTCCTTTTCAACACTTTCATACCCAATCGGTTCTACTTGAACGATGGAAACTTGTGATTTTCACGTGTGTGTTCAATAGATATAATTCAATGTTCGTCGTGGCATATAGCCAGGAAAATGGTTGTTTTCTATTGAATAAACTGAAAAAGAGTAGTTATTTCCATCACATAAAGAATGCAAATTCTCAATGTATTGCTTCATATTAATATATATATATCCATTTTTGTATGTCCATAATTTCTTTATCTGAGAATATTCCTTTTCAACAAAACTATTACTGCGACGTTAACTTTTTTTTAAGAGAAAAAAAAGTTATTTGTAACTAAGTCATAGTGAGCTATGACCTACATTTGAAAAACTAAAGTTGGTGCTGATATCTCAAATTCTAGAAGAGTTGGTATAAATTTCATATTTTTTTCGAAATCACTTTGAAAAACAGCCATGAGAATGTGAAATTCCTATTTGAATATTTTCATAAATAAAGAAGTTACGGAGGAGACAAGAAAATGATCAAAATCTGTTTTTTGCGTATAAAACAAAAACGACTAGATTTCATCAAAATATTTTTTCACATTATAGTTGGCCTTGGCAAACTCCACATTTGGTGTCATTTAACCGACCTCGTATCTATCACCGTTAAAAAGATACCCACGGTGAGCATGGTAAGTGGGACACACTGTATATAGGCCATTCTTCATCATTTTCGAAGCAAACTTTTACGTACCAGCCGAATTTCGAAATAATTCATCATTCATGAATGACACTGTATAAGGGGTATGCATGAATATAATGTCATAAAATTTCGATAGATACACATTTTGAGAACCATTGCATAAAATTACGCCTCGGACAAAATCTTTTTTGTGAAGTTTTTTTTTTTTTTTAGTATGTTCTCGGATTACTCTGTACAATGGAAATCATTTGAGATTTCAGGTTCCCGATTCAAGTGGACTCTGGATTGATCGAAGTGATTTCACCTTCTCCTGGATATTACCCGAACATGAACAAGCTCTACATCACCCTGGGGGATTCGCTAGAACGCGTTCAATGGCGTTCGAAGCAGAATTTGGATTTTGCCTTCCTAATGTCGTATTGTCAACCAAAAGGTGAGCTAGATAAAATTTTTCAAAGATATAGATAAAACAATGTCATATGTTATTGACAATTGTGTGTAACTCAGTCACCAATTTCATTAATATAATTCAATAATATATAACTTTGAATTATGTTTGACCAAAGTCATTAGCAGTGGCGTAACTTCAAATTTTAGCCACCCCCCGACATAAACATTTAGGGTCACCAAGAAAAAAAAAATGAGATATAATACGGATTATATTATACGAATTAGCTATACAAATATCCATTTTTTATGTTGAAAACGGGAACAGTTTCGTTCCCGATACGTCCAGAGCAAATTGAAAATTCGATATTTTTTCTATATACCATTATTTCTCGTCTCGAAACCTTCTTCACTACAAATTGTCACTGACAAGCTAGTGAATTTTTCTTCTAGGCTCTCTGATAGAAAAGTTCTTTAAACGCATCAATGACATTTTGGGGCAAATCTTCTGATTTATCATTTTTGAGAAATTTCTAACATCGGTGCAAAAGAAAAACGTGGATAAAAAGGAATATGTAAGTAGTTACAGATCAAAAAATAAAAAAGAAATGTGTGTCAACCCCAGGCAATTCTCTTTTTTGCACTTTTTTCTGCCGTTTTTTGCACCAGGATTGAAGTTTGTACTTGAGTCCCTCCAAACAGGGACTAAGAGACATATTTTATCGCTAGAGACTGAATGGAAATAATGAAATATCCAACTGATATACTTGGTCAGATTTGAATTGTAACATTGACAGTTCATCATATTTCTAGTGTGAATTTTCTCGAAAGTATTACAACTAGTATATGCAACATATTTCACTTTGAGTGGCAAAAATTTAATATATCATGAAGGGTTTGCAGAATTTCGAAAATTGCCTTGCCCATCAGGTGAAATTTGAATTTCATTGTGGAGATGATTTAGTTTTCTATTCTCGATGAGAATACAACTATGCTTGACTAACTACGTACTACTAACTGATCCTCACTATAAGCATAATAGCTGAGTGTTTTGAGTTTTGTGAACTATAAAAAAATAATAATTCCAGGTACATTTTACGTTCAACTGGAAGATGATATTCTTGCCAAACCATCGTATGTGAATTTGATGAAGAAGTTTGCAATCGACAAGATCGCCAAGAAGGAACCATGGCTCGTGTTAGACTTTTGTCAGCTTGGTTTCATAGGTGAGTTTGCCTGTTCGCATAAAGATTATTCGAACCAATCAATCGATTGATATACGCGGGTGTACCATGACGATTAAGACAGGAAATATCTCGGAACTCGAGGGTAGTAGAAAATTGTAATTGTGGAGTTGCGAATTTAAGCGATTGTTGCAGCTTTTTCGGATATTTTTTCACCCAATGAACTTATTGATTTCGGTCACGTGACATCAGATTCAAAATTATAAATGGAACAACCTGTTTATTTTGGCATTCCTTTGTTCCTCCCGATGGAACGAGTCCAACAAACTATCACACTTGTGGTCTAAAACGATTAATTCAGGAACTACAGGTACCTACTTACTTCAATATAGAGGATGTGTCATAATATACGCGCAGGACTTCAGGAACTGATAGCTTGTCGAAAAATATGGAGAAAAGTTTCTATTAACTTACCCTCGAGAATGCACTATTTTCGAATATCTCTGGAACTCTGGAACCGTTTATCGCAGAGAACAGCTTTTGTAAGCATTTTTTACCCATGATAAGCTTTGTTTTGTGGGGGACTTTTTCTATTTCAAGGTCATAATTGGTGAAGGTTTTGAAGGGTTAGTGGATGTTCCTCTCCACAACTTCAACGCCACTGGAAAACTTATTGTTTCGAGCCGCCTATTCGAACGGCCAATGTTTTCTACACAAGATACTCATGGTCATGAGCTCAAAAGTTGACCGTTTTTGAGAAAAATCAACTTTCATGTTGAAAATCACGGTAAGTTTTTGGGAACAAATTATTTTTACCAATGAAACAAAATCTATTGTAACAAAACCAAAGGTTAACTTCATATTACAAAATTGAACAAAAAAAGACATTTTCAACATAAAAATGGATTTTTCTGGAAAATGGTCAAATATTGAGCCATTGACCAAGACTACATTTTTTGTGTAGGAAATATTGGCAGTTCAAATGGGTTGCTCAAAACTGTACTTTTTCCAGTGGCGTAGAAGTTGGGGAGGAAAACACTCACTACCCCTTCAAAATCTCCAACAATTATGACCTCAACAAAACATTCACCACCAAACATAGCTTATTATGAGAATAAAATGCTTATGGAAGCTGATTTTTGTGCGATGAATGGTTCCAGAAATATTCGCAAAAAACGATTTTTTGTTTCAAATTTCTACACCCTGTATCCCAAGAATAGTGCATTTGAGAGGGTGAGTTTAAGGAACATTTTTCCCATATTTTTGAACGAACTATCACATCCTGAGGTCCTGCGCATATATTATGAAACACCCTTTATTATGTCCCACGACGATAACGACAAACGTCTGAAACCAGCAATTGCCAAATTATCGAAGTTTGAGGTCACCTTGTATATTTGGGCAGTCCCGAGGGGAGCCCTGAATCTTTTGTGATGATTAAAAATATTATCATCCATATTTTATTGAAAAACTTAGTGGAATAACTTTGGGACACAGGGAATTAAAGTACCTGTAGTTCTCTCTCTTTTTAGACCACAATTATTGAGATAGGAATCGCGATAGGAATCGATTTATCGACCATCGAAAGGAACTCAGAAATGAAAAACCTCACAAACGATGAGATTTCCACAAAATTGTGTGTAAATCTCACAAAATATTGTGGAAATCCCATGGTTTGTGCAGTTTTTACATTTTTTGCTATGGATTTCTATCAAGTAACGGCCGAGAACATTGAAAAAAAGAACTCGGAAGTGCCAAAATGTGCAGGTGGCTCCATTTAAATTGAAGATTTATGATTGAAGTAAGTAGGTACATACCTGTAGTTCTCGAATTAATCGTTTTAGACCACGAATGTGATAGTTTGTTGGAATCGTTTCATCGGGAGGAACAAAGGAATGCCAAAATATGCAGGTTGTTTCATTTACAATTTTGAATCAGATGTCACGTGACCGAAATCAAAAAGCTCATTGGGTGACACAATATCTAAAATGCACCAATTGCTTTGATTTACAACAGATTTGGGAGATTGTCAATTCTCAATTTCGGATGTTCAACAGATATTGTTCAATGTTCGACGTGGCAAATTGCCAGGAAAGTAGTTGTTTTCTGTTGAATGTTCAGAATGATGTTATATGCATATACATATTCTTATCTGAAGGAGAATGCAAATTCTGAACTTTAGAAGATTTTGTGTTCGAATTCTTATGGTATGTGTTCAATAGATATAATTTAATGTCAGCCGTGGCATATAGCCAGGAAATTAGACGTTTTCTGTTGAGTGAACCGGGAAAGAATTGATATTTTTTTTACATGGGGAATGCGTATTATCAATGTATTATTTGAATATATATCAATTTTTATCTGAGAATATTCCTTCTCAATGTTTATCTTCAATTTTATTGTATGTTCGATTTGTTTATTCGTCTATTTTTCTTGTGTCCCTCCATAAGCATGTATGTTTCTTGGGATCAATACATGTTTTTTTTATTATCATTAACTACCCATATGCGAAAACTTTGTTGTTCGATGTTTTAAACTTCTTCACCTAGGCTACAACCACCGTATACAGAGAGAAAAATTTCTTGTTGATTTCACAATGTTATTATTCTTGTTTACATCAATATTTATTGATCTTGAATTTCGATTTTATTTGTGTGAAATTGTTTTTGTTGTGAATTTTCTTTTCAAAATATCGAATACTCCCATATGCATAGGTATTTCTATTTCCTTAGTGTCACTGACCGTAGTAATCACTTATATAATGACATTGGAATTAACTTTCGTGTCAGCCACAGAAGATTGCTACGTTCAATTTCACGCAGTCCTCAGTTCTATAATAATTATGTCGTAATTAAATTTGAATTTGTCCAGCAGTTAGAGAACAAGCTTTTTCGCCACGACTCAAGACTCAAGACCCATCAATTTTCTAGATTGTGAGCATAACTTCGTCACGACGTTGATCTAACAAAACCTTTTCGATTTTTGCGATACAATAAAACGCAAATACATGCATTTTTCACAGCCGATTCACTAAGTAGCAATTGACAGCAGAAAATTTCACACGCCAGAAGCAATTGATATTTGATAATCCCAAACAAATTCGGTGAATAAATTATTGCTACGACTATAGTAGATTAGATTGGTCGAAAATAGATATTGTTACGATTTTACTCTGGGTCCGTAATAATTTAACACTCGGTAGAACACTTGAAACGATTTATTCTGAACACTACTATACAATAATTACAATACTCGTATTAAACGCTTCCGATTCACAACACTTCTTCGATCGTTATTATAACGCTTCCAAATAAAGACTTTCCTTCCTGTCCCTAACAAGAACTATTTATACTACCTAATAAAACGTCTAGATTCCACTTGAAATATCGTGAACAGGTCGATAATCTTCTCGAGTCATCTCAATAGCCGTCGATTTCTATTCCAAGAAATACGGTTTATTTACTTCCGTATAGCAGGTAGCTGGGATTGATCGCCAGGGTCGTAACATTTACCCCCTTCTTCAAATTTGATCGTCCCGATCAAAAACAGAACTCTCCTCACCATGATAGCGCTTCAGTCTTTCAAGATGAACGACTTTCATCTTTGTCCTAGGGCTGCGTTGGATTCTATAGACCACATCATTGATCCTTTTCAACACCTTATACGGTCCTTCCCAAGATGGTGTTAATTTGGGTGATACGCCTTTCTTCCGTCGAGGATTATACAGCCAAACTCGATCTCCTTCGAAGAATCCCTCTGAATTGGCTTTGAGATCGTACCGTGCCTTCATTTTGTCACTTGCTAATTTCAATCTCTTCCGAGCAGTCTCATGAATTTTCATCAAGCCATTCCGGAGCTCATCTGCGTAGTCTTGTACTTCCTTTTCTTCAACACTTGGTGAACCGAACACCAAGTCACAAGGTAAGCGGAGTTCTCTTCCAAAGACTATACTAGCTGGAGTTAGCTTCGTTGAATCATGGACAGCTGCTCTATACGCCATCAGGAATAAGGGAAGATGCCTGTCCCAGTCCCTCTGATGCTCTTCGACTACTTTGGAAAGATGTTCTTCCATAGTTCGGTTGAATCTTTCGACCATGCCATCGGATTGTGGATGTGTGGAGTTGGTCCCGTCTTACTGATTCCCATTTGATCATTGACCTTTTTGAATAAGTTCGACTCAAAATTTCTCCCTTGATCAGAATGTAATTCCATTGGTACTCCGAACCGTGAAAACATGTTGTCGACCAATATCCTGGCAACTGTGGAGGCTTCTTGGTTTGGCATGCCGTATGCTTCTACCCACTTACTGAAGTAGTCCATAGCAACCAAGATGTATTTATTTCCATCATCAGTCAAAGGGAATGGTCCGGCTACATCGATGGCGATCCTTTCAAACGGTGCACCCACATTGTATTGCTTCATTCCAGCTCTTGATCTCGTTCTGGGACCTTTACTGGCTTCGCATACAGGACATCTTCTACACCAACTTTCCACGTCGTCACGACATTGAACCCAGTAAAATCTTTCTCGAATTTTACTCAATGTCTTGTTAACTCCAAAATGTCCACCAGATTTTCCGCCATGGACTTCTTCCAGAACTTCATTAACTCTGATGTGGGGCACAACCAGCTGAGAAATTGTTGATCTACCATCAGCTGATTCCCAAACTCGCTTCAATAATCCATTCTCCACAACTAGTGAGTCCCATTGTGCCCACATCGCCTTGAAAGCAGGCCCTCTATCCGAGATATCCTTCCATGTCGGTATTTCTGTTCCTCTTTCTTTCCTACGTAGAAAATCGGCGATATTCGGATCGTTCTCCTGATCTCGTCTCATGTGTGCTGCTGTCCACTTATCGTCGGTCACAAGTCTGGTTTTTTTAACATCAGCGGTTCCTTCTCGATGTTCAATGCGCAGACAATGCTTACAGGTTTCTGAACAAGGTCTTCTGGACATGGCATCTGCATTCTGGTGTAGTTTTCCTGGGCGATGCTTAATCTTGAAGTGATACTGGTTCAGCTTTTCCAGCCATCTTGCTATTT